AGGCACAATATTCTCAAATCAGTAAATGTAATACATCACATAAACAAAGACAAAAATCACAAGATTGTATCAATAGATGCAGAAAAAGCATTTGATAAGGTACAGCACCCATTTATGATAAAAACACTCAGCAAAGTGGGAATACAGGAAGCATTCCTCAACATAATACAGGCCATATATGAGAGAGCTACAGCCAAATCATACTCAATGGCCAAAAACGAAAATCTTTTCCACTAAGATCAGGAACAAGATAAGGTTTTCCATTTTCACCACTTCTATTCAACATAGTATTGGAAGTTTTAGCCACAGCGATCAGACAAGAAAAGGAAATAAAAGGCATACAAATTAGAAAAGAGGAAACAAAACTGTCATTGTTTGCAGATGACGTGATAGTGTACATAGAAAATCCTATAGATGCAGCCAAAAACCTACTCCACCTAATAGATTAATTTGTCAAAACAGCGGGATACAAAGTCAATATCCAGAAATTAAAGGCATTTTTGTATACCAACAATGAAACAACAGAAGCAGAAATCAAGAAAAAGGATCCCACTTGATGTAGCAAAAAGAAAAATAAAATATCTAGGAATAAACCTGACCAAAGAGGTAAAAGACCTCTACTCAGAAAACTACACAACACTGAAGAAAGGAATCAAGGAAGACACAAACAAATGCAAACATATACCGTGTTCATGAATTGGAAAAATTAACATCATCAAAATGTCCATAGTACCCAAAGCAATATACAGATTCAATACAATACCTATTAAAGTACCAATGGTATATTTCACAGACATAGAAAAAACACTTCAAAATATTATATGGAACAACAGATGACCTCAAATAGCTGCTGCAATTTTGAGAAAGAAGAGGAAAGTAGGAAGGATCACAATACCTGATACCAAACTGTATTACAAGGCCACAGTAATCAAAGCAGCCTGGTACTGGCATAAAAACAGGCACATGGACCAATGGAACAGAACAGAGAGCCCAGAAATAAACCCAAGTCTCTATGGTCAATTAATATTACATAGGGGACAGCAACATAAAATGGAATAAAAATAGCCTCTTCAACAAATGGTTTTGGGAGAACTGGACAGCTACATGTGAAAAAAAATGAAACTCGAGTGCCAACTTACACCTTATACAAAAATAAATTCAAGGTAGATGAAAGATTTAAATATGAACCCTGACATCATTAAAGTCCTAGAGGAGAATATAGGCAGGAAAATCTCAGGTATTTCACACAGCAACATTTTTACTGATATGTACCCTAGAGCAAAGGACATGAAGGAAAGAATACACAAATGGGACCTCATCAAAATAAAAAGCTTCTGCACAGCTAAAGAAAACAGTATTAAAACAAAAAGAGAAGCAACTATATGGGAAAACAAATGAAAAGATGCTCAGTATCACTAGCCATCAGAGAGATGCAAACTAAAACCACAATGAGGTACCACTTCACACTGGTCAGAATGGCCATCATAAACCAAGCAACAAACAACAAGTGTTGGAGATTTGTGGAGAAAAGGGGACCCTAATGCACTGTTGGTGGGATTGCAGACTGGTACAACCACTATGGAAAACAGTATGGAATTTTCTAAGAAAACTAAAAATTGATCTGCCTTTTGACCCAGCAATTCCATTGCTAGGATTCTATCCCAAGAACTCTGAAACACCAATCCAAAAAATCCTATGCACCCCAATGTTCATAGCAGCACAATTTACAATAGCCAAGTGTTGGAAGAAACCTAAGTGCCCATCACTAAATGAATGGATCAAAAAACTATGGTACATTTACACAAAGGAATTCTATGCAGCAGAAAGAAAGAAGGACCACCTACCCTTCGCAACAGCATGGATGGAACTGGAAAGCATTATGCTAAGCGAAATAAGCCAGGCAGTGAAAGACAAATACCATGTGATCGCACCTTTAACAGGAACCTAAACAACAAAACAAACAAACAAGCAAAATATAAGCAAAGGCACTGAAATAGAGAACAGGTTAAGCAGAGGGGAGAGGGAAGGGAACTTCAGGGGGAAATGGGAAGTGTTTACAGGAACAAGTATAAAGGACACATGGACAAAAACTAGGGGGGGTGGAAATTGGAGGGATGTGGGGAGGGCTGGGGGGGTGTTGGCTGGGATGGAAGTAAAAGAAAACTGTACTTGAACAACAATTAAATTAAAATTAAAATAAAATTAAAATTTAAAAATATAAAATAAAACATTAACAATATAAAGATTAATATAATAGTACAAACTAGACTGGGTAACATAAAAATGTCCACTAAGAGAAAAATGATTTTACAAATGATGTACATCAATATATGGAGAGACTAAAAAGAATTATGTGAATTATTCAGAAAGTATTTACATGACAAATGAACAGCACAAATTACATTGCATTATATATTTCAGGGGTCTGCAAATAAGGCCTGAGGGCCCACCATCTATTTCTGTAAATAAAGTTGAATTGAGACACAGCTACACCCATTTGTTTATGTATCATCTACGACCACTTTGAAACTACAAGGGCACAGCTGAGTAGTAGATCATATGGCCCTTAAAACCTAGAAGATTTACTATCTTGCCCTTCACAGAAAAACTTTGCCAAGCCTTGATGCTTTTACTGACTTATTCTTTCTTTCTTCCATTCTTTCTTTCTTTTTTAAAATTGATTCTAGAGAGATGGAAAGGGAAGGAGAAGGAGAAGGAGAAGGAGAAGGAGAGAAACATCATTTGTTTGCCTCCTGAACACCGGACAGGGACTGAGCTCACAACCCAGGTATGTGCCCTGAAAAGGAACCAAACTGGCTACCTTTCAGTTTGTAGGACAGACAACGCCCAATTGAGCCGCACTGGCCAGTGCTCTTTTACTGACTTTTTAATGTCAGCATTTGTCATACGCACTGTTACAAATGAACAACACTACTGAAAGTGAAGCTGTAGTAAGCTTCCAGCAACCCTGAGTACACACACACCTCATACACACTACCTGACACATTATAAAAAATGAACCCTATAGCTTTAATCATTAGTTTAAGGTCCTTCCCCCGCCCTTAAATCTAACCATTCTGACTGTTTAACACACTTCTCACTTTATGCTGATAGTCAATACTTGAATTTAATTCTATTTCTGGCAATCCTCAGCTAGAGGCTCCAGTTTTTATGTTTCCTTAGGAAAGAGACACCCTAGCTTTCAAAGTCCCACCAAAATAGCCCTCTCTTTCAGGCACCTTTCCTGATTACATCCTAGAAAGTGTCATTGCTGTAGGATCCAGTCACACTTTGTTCCTACCTGTTATTACAGTACTTCATTCAACAGCTTGCTTCTTAGACAGTCCTGTACATAGCTCTGTATCCCTAGAAAACCCAGGCAAAGCAATTCTCATAACTGCATATACAATTAGCAGAGAGGCTTCTGTCAGCCCCGAAAGGAAGGGAACATCTCACAAATTTTTTAATTGTCTACAAACTTTTTTGACTGTGCAATCCATCCTTAAACTTTTGAGCACATAACCCATATAGGCATTTTGATATTTTCTTAGAGATTCTATTTATTTATTTTAAACACAGGGAAAGAGAGGGAGAAAGAGAGGGAAATATCAATGTGTTTGCCTCTCATGTGCACCCCTACTGGGGACATGGCCTGCAACACAAGCAGGTGCCATGACTGGGAATCGAACTGGTGACCCTTTGGTTCGCAGGCCAGCACTCAATCCACTGAGCCATACCAGCCAGGGCTGATATTTTAAATAAATTATACACATATTACCACGTTTTTAAAATACAAAACATATGCAAAATAGATACCAAAAAGGATGTGTCTCTGATTGGGTGTTACTGAGACTTGTTAGAAAAGAACAACGTGGAAGTCCAGAATTAAAGTTGGTCTCACACAAAAGAAGTAATTCAGGATGAACCTTAGTGTGCCCCACTCTTAAAACCACTTAGAGTTTACTGCCTTCATATAAACTTCTGCAGCAAACACTATGCAAATAGAGCTTACCACCTCCCCTTTTGTGGTAATCAACACTTCTATTCCAAGTAGATTTCACTGCAGATTCCATTAGGAAACATGAAAATCAGTCTAAGAGAGCTAGACTGTATTTTAAGTGTACTTAATGAAAATACCTGTTGGCATACTTAATAGTAAACAGTAACTTAAAAAACCACCTACATTGACACTTTTGAAAGGGGAAAACAAGCACAAGCTCCAAAAATCGGATTTGCAATCAGTGGGCTTGGTCAAATGCCAGCTTCAACACTTACTAATTGTGTGGCCTGTGACATTGGGTAAGTCACTTAACCTAAGCCAACTTCATCTTAAAATCAGGAAACTAAGCCTTTCTTAATTCTGACATCTGTAATTAAGCGCCTAAGTTGAGTTGGGCACACAGTAGGTCATCAATGAAGGGAAGCTAAATCCCTTCCCAAATTCTTGTCTAGAAGTTGGCTGAACTAGTCGGGCAGAACCACCTGTTCTCTCAGATTCCTTCCGCTCAGACAACAGCCAGCCCCCATACTACTGACTCACCAAGGGAAGCAGTCTCACACCAGAGACAGCCCCTACTCCCTTCCATTCATTCATTCATGCAGCAGTTATTAAGCCCAGATGGCGCAGGCCCAGTATGGGACACAGAGATGGAGAAGGCCACGCTCCTGTCCTCATGGAGCTGACCCTGCAGTGGGGAAAAACACTGTAGACTGCAATGAAGAAAAAGATCGCAATGTAGACGACAACGAAAGTACTAGGAAAGAAGCATGAGCTATAGGCCTCCCGGCCTAACCTCCCTTGACCCCAGATCCATTGTTCCGGAGCAAAGGGCCGGGGCGGGCAAGCAGACGCTGCAGGCCCTGACCTGCTCCCTGCTCTCCCACCCTGCAGCCAGGCCTCACACCCAAGGCAGTTCTGCCCGTTTGACTCGCCCAGCTCCAGGCCCCAGCCGGCCCGCCACTTGGTTGGGGACACCGCCCGCGAGCCGGCTCAAGACTACCTGACGTCAGATGGCTGCACCGCGTTCAGCGCCGCTTTATCAAGGCGCTCCATGGTGTGGCCACCTACAACAGGTTCTCGCGGACAGAGGTCCACGGCCACTCTCAATTGGTTTCGGCAGATGACTGGTTCAGGAAGGCCCCGCCGGAAGTGCCGGCCAGCGCCAGGCAACAGGACGCAGCGCGCAGGCGTGGCGCATTGCAGTGACGCTAGCTGTGGCGGGCGCGAGCGCGGGTGCTCACGTGGCTTACCGGCCAGGGCTCCGTGGCGTGCGCCCGGTCTGGGGCGTCTTGTAGGCGAGGAGCAACCCAGGCGAGTAGCCCAGCCACTCCACGTTGAGCCGGGACTTGCCTCGCAGCATAGTTCTTCCAGACAAGCTGCACTGTTGCTGTCCGTCGACCCCTGTGAGCAAGCAAACACCTCGTTCAGGGTCCCAGCCCCTGTCGCAAAGCTGCGGTTGCCAGGAGACAGGAGCAGCTGAGCCCGGAGAAAGGACAACCAAGCAAACCAGTGTGGTGCTAGGCAACCGAGCAGTTTCCAACGACAACAACAGAGAAAAAACAGTGCATATTATTCCCCAGACCTTGAGCAAATGCCTCATTAATTATTACCCACAGTGAAAGTCCAGCGGTGGGAAGCTGGAAAGAGTTAGTTTAACACTGATCAGAGCCCGCAAAACTAGAGAATGTTAGGGCTGAAAGACCCCGTGCTGGCAGTAACTGTTCCAGGCTGCACACCGGTGACCCCAAATTCCACTTAAGAACATTTTGCAGCTGCTCCAAAAGCCGACAGTGATACAACAGGGACTCAAATAGTAAGGGACAGATAGTCCTCCTGGTCCTGAGCAACCCAAGAAAGGTATAAAACGGTGCATAAGCCTAAGGTCAGGCTCGACAAATCTAGGTTGTCACTGGCTGCTGATAAGAGGACAGCCCTGACATGGTCAACTCCTAGAAAGAGCAACTGGCCACACATCTGTTTTTTGCACCACATGGACACAAACACCACATCTGAAATCATGACTAAACCAGCAGGTTAAGAGCCTTCTTAAGGACCAGGGACTGGACAGCAGGAAACACGCCTTTGAGTACAGACTCTCTGGGCCTCATCTAGAAGCACCTAATGCCACAACTACGGCAGAATTAGACTTTAGCTCTGTGGTTGGCAAATTGTGTCCAGTTGCCAAATACATACAGCCAGCCTGCCTACCACCTATTTTTCTATAGCCCATGAGTTAAGAATGGTTTTTTTTCCATTTTAAATGTTTTTAATTAAAAGAAAAATAATATACTGTCACACGTCAAAAATATATGAAATCCAAATTTCACTGTCCACAAATAAAATTTTATTGGAACTCAGCCATGCTCATTCGTTTGTACTGTCTATGGCTGCTTTCACACCACAGCAGCAACAGCATTGAGTAGTTCTAACAGAGACTGTATGGTCTACAAATCCTAAATGTTCACTATCTGGCCCTTTTCAGCAAAAGTTTGCTGACCCCTGCTCTAGCTAATTACTCTGTAATGAGCCTTTAGAGATCCATAGATGTAGTAATGGAGGTTCTGAGAACAATTTTCAATATTAAAAAAAAACCTAATGAATGTATTTAATGGATATATTGGATGTTACCTACCATTAGAAATCAACACCTACTTAACACATTACCTTTCCTTGGTTTTTGGCACTACTTATATTACATTGATGAGGTAATCTGGGTTATTGAATGAGAAAATACACATATTAGTATTAAACCATTGTATACTTGGCTGACTAAATATATTAAAACATAGAATAAACACAAGAGGAGTGATCTTTGCTTTCTGACCCTGTGCATCTCTCATGCCTAGAATAAGGGCCTGATATACATACAGTAGGCACTCAGTAAATATTACTTAGATAAATGAATTGGGTCCACAAGGAGACAAACAGCAAAGGGGTTATTTGTAAAGATTAGGAACCACTGATGCAGTTCTATTAGATTTCTAGAGCTACGTTAACGAACAACTGTAAACTAGTGGCTTAGATGGCAGAAATATATTGTCACACAATATGGGAGGCTATAAGTCTGAGATCAAGGTGTTGGTAGAGTTGGTTCCTTCTGAGGATGGTGAGGAAGAATCTCTTCAGTGCCTTTCACCTAGCCTCTGGTGGTTTGCCGGCATTCTTTGGTGAACCTTGATTAGCAGAAGCATCTCTCTGATCTCTGCATTTCTTGTCCCATGGCTTTCTCTCCATCTCTGTATCTGTGTTCAAATTTCTCTGTTTTATAAGATCTCAGTCATATTGGATTAGGGGACTACCTTACTCAAACAAGCCCTCATCTAATTACATCTACAACAACCTTATTTCTTCTTTTTTTTTCTCTTTTTTTAAAAAATTGTTGTTCAAGTACAGTTGTTTCCATTTCCCCCCTCCACACCCCCAGCCCCACTCATCCCTGCCTCCCATACTCAATCCTAACCACTTTGGCTTTGTTCATGTGTCCTTTATTCATGTTACTTAATGACCCTTCCCCTATTTTCCCTTATTATCCCTCTCCCTTCTCTCCTCTGGTTACTGTCAGTTTGTTCTTTATTTCAATGTCTCTGGACTGGATGGTTTCACAGGAGAATTTTACAAAACATTTAAGGAAGAGCTAAACCCTATATTTCTCAGCCTATTCCAAAAAATCCAAGAAAAGGGAAGACTACCAAACTCTTTTAATGAAGAGAGCATCACCCTAATTCCAAAACAAGATAAAGACACAACAAAGAAAGAAAACTACAGGCCAGTATCGCTGGTGAACATAGACACTAAAATCCTCAACAAAATCTTGGAAAACTGCATCCAGCAATACATTAAAAAGATCATATAACATGATCAAATTAGATTAATCCCAAGGATGCAAATATGGTATAATATTAACAAATTAATGAATGTAATATATCAAATAAACAAAAGGAAAGACAAAAATCACATGATCATATCAATAGATGCAGAAAAAACATTTGATGAGGTACAGCACCCATTTATGATAAAAAACACTCGGCAAAGTGGGAGTAGAGGGAGCATTCCTCAACATAATAAGGGCCATATATGAGACACCTACAGCCAACATCATGTTCAACAGGCAAAATCTAAAAACTTTCCCATTAAGCTCAGGAACAAGACAAGGATATCCACTTTCACCACTTCTATTCCACATAGTACTGGAAGTCCTAGCCACAACAATCAGACAAAAAATAGAAATAAAACACATACAAATTGCAAAGGAGGAAGTAAAATTGTCATTATTTGCAGATGGCATGATAGTGTATATAGAAAATCCTACAGCCTCGGCCAAAAAACTGCTCGACCTAATAAATGAACTTGGCAAAACAGTGGGATACAAAGTATATCCAGAAATCAAAGGCATTTTTGTATACCAGCAATGAAACATCAAAAGCAGAAATCAGGAAAAAAAATCATATTTGATATAACAATAAGGAAAATAAAATACCTAGGAATAAATCTAACCAAGGAGATAAAAGACCTGTACTCAGAAAACTACACAACACTGGAGAAAGAAATCAAGGAAGACACAAACAAATGCAAACATATACTGTTCATGGATCGGAAGAATTAACATCATCAAAATGTCCATAGTGCCCAAAGCAATTTATAGATTCAATGCAATACCTATTAAGGTACCAAAGGCATATTTCACAAATACAGGACAAACACTTAAAAAAATTATATGGAATGATAAATGACCCCAAATAGCTGCTTCAATTTTGAGAAAGAAGAACAAAGTAGGAGGGATCACAATACCTGATACCAAACTATATTACAAGGCCACTGTAATCAAAATAGCCTGGTACTGTCATAAGAACAGACACATAGACCAATGGAACAGAATAGAGAGACCAGAAATAAACCCAAGTTTCTATGGTCAATTAATATTTGAGAAAGGGGATAAAAGCATAAAATGGAGTAAAAATAGCCTCTTCAACAAATGGTGTTGGGAGAACTGGACAGCTATGTGCAAAAAAATGAAACTCAAGCACCAACTTACACCATAAACAAAAACAAATTCAAGGTGGATAAAAGATTTATTTATTTTTAATATAGTTTATCGATTATGCTATTACAATTGTCCCATATCCCCCTTAACTCCCCTCCACCCTGCACAACCCCCACCCACATTTTCCCCCTTTAGTTCATGTCCATGTGTCACACTTATAAGTTCTTTGGCTTCTATATTTCCCATACTGTTCTTACACTCCCCCTGTCTATTTTCTACCTACCACTGATGCTACTTATTATCTGTACCTTTTCCCCCTCTCTCCCCCTCCCACTCCCCTGCTGCTAACCCTCCATGTGATCTCCATTTCTGTGGTTCTGTTCCTGTTCTAGATGTTTGCTTAGTTTGTTTTTGTTTTAGGTGTGGTTGTTAATAATTGTGAGTTTGCTGTCATTTTATTGTACATGTTTTTTATATTCCTTTTCTTAGACAAGCCCCTTTAACATTTCATATAATAAGGGCTTGGTGATGATGAACTCCTTTAACTTGACCTTATCTCAGAAGCACTTTATCTGCCCTTCCTTTCTAAATGAAAGCTTTGCTGGATAAAGCAATCTTGAATGTAGGTCCTTGCCTTTCATGGTTTGGAATACTTCTTTCCAGCCCCTTCTTGCCTATAAGGTCTCTTTTGAGAAATCAGCTGACAGTCTGATGGGAACTCCTTTGTGGGTAACTATCTCCTTTTGTCTTGCTGCTTTTAAGATTCTTGCCTTATCTTTAATCTTGGCTAATGTAATTATGATGTGCCTTGGTGTGTTCCTCCTTGGATCCAACTTCTTTGGGACTCTCTGAGCTTCCTGGACTTCCTGGAAGTCTATTTCCTTTGCCAGTTTGGGGAAGTTCTCCTTTATTATTTGTTCAAATAACTTTTCCACTTGTTGTTCTTCCTTTTCTCCTTCTGGTACCCCTATAAATCAGATGTTGGAATGTTTCAAGATGTCCTGGAGGTTCCTAAGCCTCTCCTCATTTTTTGAATTTTTATTTCTTCATTCTTTTCTGATTGGATATTTCTTTCTTCCTTGTGGTCCACTCCATTGATCTGAGTCCCAGTTTCCTTCCCATCACTATTGGTTCCCTGTACATTTTCCTTTACTTCACTTTGCATAACCTTCATTTTTTCATCTAATTTATGACCAAATTCAACCAATTCTGAGAACATCCTGATTACCAGTGTTTTGAACTGTGCATCTGATTGATTGGCTAACTCTTGGTCACTTAGTCATATTTTTTCTGGAGCTTTGATCTGTTCTTTCATTTGGGCTATATTTCTCTGTCTCGGTGCACTTGTTACATTGTAAGGGACAGAGCCTTATGTATCACCCTGGCAGGGCAACCCACATGGCTGGGTTGTGGTGCCATATGTGGCACAGGGGTCCAAGAGGGAACAATGGTGCTTGTTCTGCTACCTGCCAGATTTCACTCACTTCTCCCTCTTCCCACAAGCAAATTGGGCCCTTCTGGTGCTGATTCCCATGTGGGTGGGTTTGTGTACATTCTAAGACCCTGTGGGTCTCTCCAACAAACTCCTGTGAGGCTGGGAGTTTCTCCTGGCACCTCAACCCCCACAGATATTTTCAGTCAGTGATTTGAGGCTTTATTTTCCCATGCTAGGACCCTGGAGTGCGGGGTCTGTGTTGCTCCCCAGTTTTGCCTGGTTTATCTGTGCACGAATGTTGGACCACCTTGTCTTCCAGCCGACTTGCGTGCCACGCCTCATTCCACAATTCACTGCCTTTCTGGGTCCACTAGCCACTGCTTTGCCTCGAGTACTCTCCACTCCAGCTGCCTGACTCCGCCCCCCGACCAGTCCGGATGAATGTGTCTTCTTTAACTTCTTGGTTTTTGGACTTCCAGACGGTTCAATGTTCTGTCAGTTATGGTTGTTTTTTGTTTTTAAATTGTTGTTGCTTTTATTTTGGTTGTGCGAGGAGGCACAGTGTGTCTACCTACACTTCCATCTTGGCTGGAAGTCCCTGAATAAGTCCTAGAGGAGAACATAGGCAGGAAAATCTGAGGTATTCCACACAGCAATATTTTGACTGATATGTCCCCTAGAACAAGGGACACAAAGGAAAGAATAAAGAAATGGGACCTCATCAAATTAAAAAGCTTCTCCACAGCTAAAGACAATAGTATTAAAGTGAAAAGAGAACTAACTGTATGGGAAAACATATTTGCCAATGATACCTCAGACAAGGGTTTGATCTCCAAAATATATAAAGAATTCACAGGACTCCATTCTAAGAAGACAAGCAACCCAATTAAAAAATGGGCAAAGGACTTGAACAGACACTTCTCCAAGGAGGACATACAAAGGGTCCAGATACACATGAAAAGATGCTCGGTATCACTAGCTATCAGAGAGATGCAAATTAAAACCACAATGAGATACCACTTCACACTGGTCAGAATGGCCATCATAAACAAAGCAACAAACAACAAGTGTTGGAGAGGTTGTAGAGAAAAGGGAACCCTAGTTTGCTATTGGTGGGATTGCAGACTGGCGCAACCATTCTGGAAAACAGTGTGGATTTCCTCGAAAAACTAAAAATGGGTCTGCCTTTTGACCCAGCAATTCCACTACTGGGATTATACCCTAAGAACTTTGAATCACCGATCCAAAAGAACCTATGCACCCCGACGTTCATAGTAGCACAATTTACAATAGCCAAGTGCTGGAAGAAACCTAAGTGCCCATCAGTAAATGAATGGATCAAAAAACTATGGTACATTTACACAAAGGAATTCTATACAGCAGAAAGAAATAAGGAGCTCCTACCCTTTGCAACAGCTTGGATGGAGCTGGAAAGCATTATGCTAAGCAAAATAAGCCAGGCAGTGAAAGACAAATACCATATAACCTCACCTTTAACAAGAACCTAAACAACAAAACAAAGAAACAAGCAAAATATAACCAAAGTCACGAAATAGAGGACAGACTGACAGTGACCAGAGGGGAGAGAAGAGGGAATTTCAGGGGAGAATGGGTAGGGTTTACAGGAACAAATTTAAAGGACACATGGACAAAAACTAGGGGGAGGGTGGTAATGGGAAGGAAGTGGGGATGGTTGGGTGGGTGGGTTGGAATGGGAGTAAAAGGGAGAAGACTACTTGAACAAAGATTTAAAAAACCTATGGTACATTTACACAATGGAAATCTATGCAGCAGAAAGAAGGAGCCCTACCCTTTGGGACAGCATGGATGGAACTGGAGAGCATTATCCTAAGTGAAATAAGCCAGGCAGTGAAAGATAAGTACCATATGAACCCACCTTTAACAGGAACCTAATCAACAAAATGAACAAGCAAGGAAAATATAACCAAAGACACTGAAATTGAGAACAGGCTGACAGTAACCAGAGGGGAGAGGGGAGGGGATTACAGGGGAAAAGAGTGAAGGTTTTGCAGGGACAATTATAAAGGACACATAGACAATAACAAGGGGGGTGGAAACAGGGGAGGGAGGTAAGGAGGGCTAGGGTGGTGGGGAGGGGTGTAGGGACAAGGCAGAAAACTACCTGAACAACAATTTAAAAAATGTTAAAAAGCAGAAGTCAAAGGCATTTTTTTACACCAACAATGAAATCTCTAGAAACAGAAATCAGGAACAACCTTATTTCTAAACAAAGTCACATTCTGAGGTACTATGGGTTAGAATTTCATCATAGGAATTGGGGGCAGGGACACAATTCAGCCCATAACAGTATTCTAAATTCCTCCTTGTACAGATGAAGAAACTGTTTCCTGGAGACGGAAGGACATGTATGACTCCTGGGTCCAGAAATCATACATTTACCTAGTGGTGTCTATAGCTTATCTCCTGCCTCCCAGGTCAGCACTTTTACACTCTCACATTAGCAGCCTACATAACAAGTTGTGTGATAACTTAGACAAGAACCATTCATAAATGAGGCTTGGCATGGACAAAATGCCTATCTAATCTAATTTATATATTACTATTTTTCAAATAAACTAAAGCTCTCATACCTCTTTTTTTCTGCTTACTTCTATACTCTACCCACATTTACTGTGATCCACCAAGGTGGAGCTCAAAATAAACTCAGAAACTTCAAGAGAAAGAAGGAAATTAACCAGAACTTTGGCCCCTCAACAAAGTCCTGAAACTTCTTACTTGCATCAGCTGCTAAATAAGTAGAGGCCAATGAAGCCCAAACAGAGCTTTTGGCATGAGAATGAAATAGCACATCAGGCAACTGCAAGCAGTGCCTTCCTTATTCCTTTGGGAATTAGAATATGATTCTCAGATGGAAAGAACCTCCGTCTGGTCTTTTCATTTTAGTTGAGAAAACTAAAATTTAAGGATGGGAAGTGACTTGCCCCAAATCACTGAATCAGTGATAGGAGTAGAAAATGTAGTGTTAACTCTCAGTCTAGAGTTTTCTTCACTGTATTGTTTTAAACCTCAGTTCCATATACCCAATGGTATAGAAAGTATACACCCAAAGTAAGTTTGGCAACACCCCCAATTTGTTTTATTGACTCACAGAATCATAACACCCCCCCCACCACAGTCCACCTTAGGGTGGCTGGCAGTGGGGTGGGATGGAAACAAACATGCTTAAAACACCAACTTGTACTTTCTGAAGCGGATGTTTGCATAACTTGGCATATTAAAATCTAAGCCATGAGGAAAATAGAAGTTTCATGATACACTCAATAAAACTTATGCTTAAAAGCAAGAGAGATGGAAACTCTGGCTTCTTTATAATGTGGAGTGTGGCATCTTTTTCCCCCTAAAAATACAAATAGGTAAAATATGCCTTCTGGTGAAAAAACTTAATTCCGCTTCTAGAAAAAAAAATAACTAAGAAGTTTGGCCAGGGGTTATTTTAGTAAAACCCTCTTCTGTCAGGAAACCCTGGAGAATGAAATGTATGTTTAACACAAGGAGAGAACTTTTCCTTGAATCTTGCCTGTGTTTTTCCATTATCTCATCTCCATCTGCCTCTGGCCACCACCACTGCCCCTCCCCCCTCAAAAAATATGGCCAGTCCTTTTTACAGAATCTATTTACAATCCTTACAATTTATATACCATCACCATTTCATAGGTGGAAAGACAGAGGCTAAGGAGAATTTGGAAGCTGAGTGAAGAATTCACAGTGCTCCTTAACTCCTGACTCTCAACTGTTTTCCTAAAATTTACATCGGGCTATCTTTCCCAGCTCCATCTGCAGGTAAAGCTAGCATCTTAGAACTAGTGAAAGGACTTGCTAATGGAGTCATAGAATGCTTGGAGTCCATGGCTGACTCAATAATCCTCATGGCTGAGGATTATTCTCACTCACCTGACCTCCAAAAATCTGGAGACCAAGTGTTAACACCTATAATACACTTAGCAGAGACCTTGCAAAAGTAGGCACTGGGGAGCACCGGACCAGGCCCCACCACCTGCCCAGCATGATGAAGGGTCAGCCTAGGGTATTGAATCCCCTGGCACATCACAGCATTTTTTACTGTCAGAGAAACCTTGCCCCATGATGTGAAGTGGGGTATCAATTGCCAGCACCAAGGTGAAGGATCCAGGTCCAAGTGCTTTCCAGACAAGCTTGCTACTACAGGCTCTGCTATGGGAAATTACTAGACAAGAAACCCTGAAGACCTATGTGAGAAAGTCACACTCCAAGATACATACACATTGTACTCAAACAAGGGCTGGGATCAGAGAAGACTTGCAACCAGTGGTTTAAATGAAGAATAGAGTGCCAGTGCCCAGAGAGTGCTTCACCAGAACTAAAGGTTCAAAAACATGGCTCACCGGACTGCCAGTCAAGATGGTGTCATAGGTAAATGTGGCTCACTTCCTTGCACAACTAAATCAAAATTATAACTAAATTATAGAACAACCATCACTCAGAACCATCAGAAATCGAGTTGAATGGAAGTCTGACAACAACAGAATTAAAGAAACCACACCTATTCAGACCGGTAGGAGGGGCAGAGATGTGAAACAGGCTGGACCACATCCACATGTGGTGGATAAAAATTCAGGAGGGATATCATGGGAGTGAGGAGTCCAAACCTCACATTGGGCCCCCCCAAACCAAGGTTCCAGTGCCACAAAGATAAGTCCCCATAACTTCTGTCTGCAAAAACCAAAGGGGATTGAGTCAGTGAAAGAAACGTCTGGAGTCCCAAGCAGTTCCTCTTAAAGAACCCACACACACACACTCACCTACTTAGACTCTCTCCTTCTGAGCTCCAGCACTAGGGAGATGGAAACTTGAAAGGCACCAGTGGCATACAGGGAGGAACTGAAGTGTCTGGCATCAAGGCGAAAGTTGAGGTCAGCTTTCTCCCAGACAGAAAAGCAGGCAGGAGCCATTGTCCTTTTTCTGAACCCTCCTCCCACAGACCACAGAGCCACAGAAGCAACAGGTGGGTGCTGTATCTGAGACTCCATCAACCAGGCTAACACTGCCCTGCTCTGAGGGTGCCCTGTTCAGAGGCTCTGTCTCACCCAACTTAGGAGCCCACCCAAGCTATTAACAGAGCTATTTCCATGTGAATGGCAGGTCTTGGCTCATGCTTCACAACTTCCTAAATCCTCTTAAACAAACAATTGCTGGCCTCAGTGAGCCCCCAGCCCCCTTATTTCTTGCTAAGTGGCCCCAGGGCCAGCACTAGCAGCACCAAAGCCTAGATTCACAGCTTGACTTTGCCTGGGAATCTCTAGGCCCAACACAAGCAGCAGTCATCTCAGATTGCTTTAAAGCCCAGGCAGGGTGGCCCTGGACAAAACACAAGTGGAAGCTGACCTTGGCCTGTACCACCCAGGAAACCTCAGAGCCTTCTCATCCAGTAAACAGCTACAGACCACATCAGAACACCATTTTCCTGCCCCTGCACATCTGATCCTCTATGAAAGGCAGAGGCTGGTGGTCAGGGGTCACAGCCAGTCCTAGCAGCTGATTGGCCTGGGTAAATCTCTCCCATTGACCTGCCAATAGCAATCAAGGCTCAACTACAAGAGGAAGGTGTGCTCAGTCCACAAAAGTGGCGCCCCTCAATACCGAGTTTGGGTGATAGGGAAGGCAGTGCCACTTACCCTGCAGGACACTTACTACATTGGGCCACGCTATCAACACAGTGAGTCATAGCAGCTCTACTTAATACATAGAAACAAACACAGGGAGGCTGCCAAAATGAGGGGACAAAGAAAGATAGTCCAAATGAAAGAACAGATCAAAACTCCAGAAAAAGAACTAAACAAATGGGAGATAAGGAATCTATCAGATACAGAGTTCAAAACACTGTTTATAAGGATGCTCAAGGAAGTTCATGAGGACCTCACAGCATAAAAAAAGATCCATTCAGTAATGAAGGATTCACTAATTGAAATAAAGAACAATTTACAGGTAAACAACAGTAGAATGGATGAAGCTAAGAATCAAATCAATGATTTCGAACATAAGGAAGCAGAAAACAAGCACACAAAATAACAAGAAGAAAAAAGAATCCAAAAAATCAAGAATAGTGTAAGTAGCCTCTGGGACAACTTCAAGCATTCCAACATTCACATCATAGGGGTGCCAGAAAGAGAAGAGAAGGGGCAAAAAATTGGAAATCTATTTAAAAATATAATGAAAGAAAAGTTTCTTAATATGGTGAAGGAAATAGACATGCAAGTCCAGGAAGCACAGATAGTCCCTAACAAGATGGATGCAAAGAGACCCATGCAAAGACACATCATAATTAAAATGCCAATGGTCAAGATAAAGAGAGAATATTAAAAGCATCAAGAGAAAAGAAATTAGTTACCCACAGGGGAGTTCCCATAAGACTTTCAGCTGATTTCTCAAAAGAAACTTGCAGGCTAGAAGGGATTGGCAATAAATATTCAAAGTCATGAAAAGCAGGGACCTACAGCCAAGATTTCTCTACCCAACAAAGCTATTATCTAGAATTGAAGGGCAGATAAAGAGCTTCCCAGATAAGAAAAACTAAAGGATTTCATCATCACCAAACCATTATTATATGAAATGTTAAAAGAACTTAGGAAAAAGAAGGAAGATCAAAACTATGAACAATAAAATTGCAATAAATATATATCAACAACTGAATCTAAAAAGTACATTAAGCAAACAAGAGGAATAGAGTCAGACTCATGGATAAGGAGAGTGTTTTGATGGTTCCCAGATAGGAGGGGAGTGTGGGTGAATGAGTGAAGAGATGGGGGGGTTAAGAAATACAAATAGGTAGTTACAGAATAGCCATAGAGATGTAAAGTACAGTATAGGAGATGTAGTAGCCAAGGAACTTATACACTTGACCCATGGGCATGAACAATGGTGTGAGAATTGCCTGAGGGAGTAGGGGGCATGCTAGGTAGAGGGAAGCAAAGGGGGGGAATTGGGAAATGAAATAAGATGTATTTCATTGAACTGTAATAGCATAATCAATAAAATATAATTTAAAAAAACATGGCCCACCACTGAGGTTTTAAAACACATCTCACCACCTCGGAGTTGAGTTTCCAAGGGGTCTTCCTAAGATCCAAGTGGGTGGGGTGGGGTATGTGCAGGTCAGACTGGGGCCCCTGAGATCTGAACACCAAGTGAAATCTGAGTCTCCAAGTGTCCCCAACCTAAGGAAGGTGAAATGCCCAGCCTGAGCTACACTACCAATATTCTTTAAATAAAATTAATACATAATTGATGAATGAGTGAGTGAGTGAGTGAGTGAAATAAATCCAAGGATGCAGTGTGAAGGAGCATTGTTTTATTTGCTGCTGGTTTTGGTTTTGTTGTTTCCTCTTCTCCATTTTCACTTCTTCTTTTTCCACTATTGGGTTAAAAAATTAGAAACACCAGAGGAAGGAAAAATACAGCAGCACTGAGTAGCTAAAATCCAGGAAAAGCAAGATGCAGAGGAGCTTGTGTTTTGGGCATCATAGAAAAGACAAAAGATGAAGAAAGTGCACAAGCAGGTGTGGCCTTGGTCTTCGTAGATGAAGGTCCCAAGCTGCTCCTCCTGCACTTGCCCTTGGGAAAAAGACATCCACTGCCCTCTAGCAGTGGTGAAACAGAAGTGTGTGTTCCACCGTGTGTAACTGTGCATGAGTGTGAGTGTCTCTGTATATGTGTTTGTGTACATCACTGGAGAAGCACATTTAAAATGGAAATCTCCTAGTCCAAGAAAACTCTCCACAAAGGTAGAAGAGAAGCAAAACCATTTTATCATTGAAGAGGCATGAAACCAGTATGTGCGCTCATCATAGGCAACACGCTGAAATGATTGCAAAAACAGAAATTTCATATAGCTGAGTGGATACAAGCAATTACATTCAGTAGGTTTAACAATTTGGAGTCCGGTGGTGGCCTAAGATAGGCCTATCTCCTCCCAAGAATCTGCGACATAGGTTGTTATCTGCCTAGAAGATTACGTTTCAAGGATTTGGCTCCCAGGCCCAGAGAAAACTTTGCTGAGTTGTGAGACTGGCAAGAGGCTTACTTAGCCATGAAAAAGACCTACATACATTTGAAAAGGACAAAGAAATTCGAAAAGAAAAGAGATGGAAGGAGTTTCTTCTCTTGTTTTTCAACAGGGAGAGTTAAGCCTCTTATTTTAAATTTGAATTCGCTCTTATAATATTTGCTAAAGGCCAAGAATTGTGGGTATCTGCATGTGAACATGCATGTGCGCACACACACCTGTGTGTGCTCCATGCCAGACAAAGCCCCAAGTGGCCCCTCTATACCCATCTCTCCAGTGTGCTCTCCCCTCCCCTAGATTCCTCCCAATCCCCTATAGCCTCCAAATTTCTCTTTCTCCCACACAAACATTTTGGACAACTTTTTAGGACATCCAAAACATGGCAGTAATGAATCTGCTTGTGCTTGTGCCCCCACTTGAAGTACCATTGTCCACATTTCTGTTACCTCCCAAATGCTACCTTTCCTTTTACTATCTCCTGTGGCACTTCTGGCCTACATGAAAGTTTGTGCTTTCTTCTATATCCCATTACATACTGTTGGGACTTTCAGTACCCCCCACTAGACTGTATGTTAATGGGGTAGAGGATGAAATGTCTGTGGGCTTTTTCATCTCTGTACTGCCACTGCACAGGGTTTTGAACATGTGCCTTCAGCCAGCGCTGCGCTGAGAAACATACCAGGGCCACCTCTCTGGCTTTCCCACCTCTTCTGTTTCTCTGCTCTCTAAATGTCTGTTGTGAGACTATTAAAACCAAAATAATAAGGATTTACAAGATCTGTTTCCAAAGTGATTCCCCTAAGAGTCCTTGGGGTACAGAGCTGACCTAA